AGAGGGCGGGGTCGGAGGCGGCCGACGCGCTGCCGCCCACGCTTGTGGTGGTGCACAGCGTTTCGCTGGCTGCTGCTCTGGCGCGAGGGCGCCGCGGGCGCGGGCGGGGCGCGGCGGCTGGGAGGTGGGGACGGTGCGCGCCTTCGCCCCCAACGCCCGCCGCGGGTGCGCGGGGGCGCCTGCTACAAAACGCCCGCGGCGTCCGAGCGGGCCAAGGTGCTCAAGCCTCCCTCGCCACCCTGATTCCCCTCGCCACCTTCTTCTTCTCCGCCTCTTGCCACCCTCGGCATTCCCTCGCCATCCCTCCATTCTTCCTCTCGCACTGCTCATCATCTCCTCGCCACGCCTCCATGTCTCCCCTCGCCACCTCATCTCGCCGTCGACTTCCTCGCTTCGCCTCTCATTCTCCCCTCACGCTGCACTCCATTCTCCCTCGCCCCTCATCCCCTCGCCGCCCCACCTTCGCCCGCTCGCACACCTCCATTCCACTCTGCCTCCCTCTCCCTGCACTCCCTCCACCCGCTCTTCCTTCGCCCTCCATTCCCCTCGTAACCTTCTCCCCTCGCCAACCCTCCATTCTCCTCGCCACCACTCGCATCTTCTGCCCCCTCCCATTCTCGCCCTGCCAGCCTCCACTCTCGCCACTTCGCGTCGCCTCCCTCATCTCCCCTCGGCCTGGCTTCCATTCTCCCTCCCACCCCCATCTCCCTCGCGCACCCTCGCTCTTCTTCGCCCCTCCCAATTCTCCTCTCGCCAACCCTCCATTCTCCCCCTCGCCACTTACTCGCCCTCGCCTCCTCTTCTCAGCCTCGCCACTCTCACTGCCCCTCGCCTGCCTCGCCATTCTCCCTCGGCCTCTTCCATTCTCCCCTCGCCACCCTCACCATCTCCCCTCTGACCTCGCTCTTGCCTTCGGCCCCTCCATTCTCTCTCGCCTCCTCCTTCCTCCTCGGCCACCCTCCATTCTCTCCTCGCAATCTCGTCTTTCCTTCGCCCCTCCATTCTCCCCTCGCCGTCCTTCATCTCTCCCCTCGCCACCTCTCCATTCCCTCACAGTATCCGTTCTCCCCTCTGTCCGCCCTTCCGAATGTCTGTTACCGTCGTCGTCTGGTGTCGTGTGGAACATTTCTGCGCATAAACAAAATTAAAAAAACCTCTGTCCATCTTCCATTCTCCCCTCGCCACCCTCCCTTCTCCCCTCGCCACCCGCCATTCTCCCCTCGCCACCCTCGCTCTTCCTTCCCCCCTCCATTCTCCCATCACCACCCTCCACTCTCCCCACGCCATACTCCGTTTTCCCCTCACCACCCTCCATTCTCCCCTCACCACTCTCCGTTCTCCCCTCGCCGCCCTCCGAACGTCTGGTTTCCGTCCGTCCGTCTGGTGTCTGTGGACATTTCTAGCGCATAAACCAAAAATTAAAGAAACCTCTGTCCATCTGGCACGAGTCAAAACATTGTAATTTTGAAAAACAGTCTTCAAATTTGCGGATAGTTTATATGAAGCCCAAGGACCTTCTCAAAACTTACTCAAAAACGGCCCCAAACTTTTTCTTTAAATTTCGTCTAAGAATAGATTAATATATACTTATAAAAATAGTATAGGTCCGATTTTCACGCTTAACTCGAAATTTTCGATATTTTCGAAAATTTCAAAACATGATTGTTCTTCGATATCTTCCTACAACTTCAGAATTAAAGATAGAGATTTTTCCTTCAAATACAATTTGTTCTCCATAGTGAGTTCTTTAATAAAGGTCATGTACATTTTTTGGAAAATGTTAGTTGTTTTCGTGCAATACTGCTGACAATATGAACAAATTTAAACAATTACAAAAAGATTTTCACGTGGTCGTGACGTAATCTTGACGTCATGGTGACATTAATCAATGGAAATTTAAAGACAATTAAAATATGTATATGAATTTGGAAAACTTAACATTCTCACGAATTTTCATTTTGCCGTTTTGCATTTTTGGTCCCGTATTAATTTTCTATTTCCTTTGGTCTCAGTTAGCTACACGAACTTGCCACATGCTCTTACCAGTTGCCATCTATCGCCGCCCAAAGTACACTTTAAAAAAACACTTAATTGTTCGGTTTCCTAATAACAGAACGGTAATATTACTTAATGAATATTAAAGAACAGTAAAACCTCGATCTAAATTACAAATTTTTTAGAAATATTTGTAGCCATTTTAATGAAAATGGCGCTCAAACGCTACTGAAAATTCGAAGCTTTTTTCACAGAACATTTTTGAGTTTTCGAAGAACTTCATTTGAAGTCCATTTTTAAGTATTGTAACTCATAAATACAATAATGCTTACAAATCGCTGGGAACGTGCATTTTAACGGCGTGAACAATCTTTCAAAAAATTACATTTGTGTAATTTTTTAATCACAAAAAAAATGCCCCGAAATAAAATTTATTCCATATTAAAGAGTGAAATTAGCACTATCTGTTCGAAAAGTTTGAGGAAAAAATTAGGAGCTGATGTTTAGAAAATGGCGTTTGAGCCTTTCTCAAAATGCGGAATTTTGAATTAGTTTTCACAGAGAAGAGTACGGTTATTTTTCGAAAAAAATTATATGACATTATTTGAAGCACATGCACTCCTAAATACAATAATGTGGACAAATTACCTCTAATATATAAACGACGCAAGAGGCAAAACATACATTGTTGTAATTTTTAAAAAAAGAAAACAAAAGAATAGAGAAGTATGGCGTTAATGTCACCGTATATAGTACGTTTAGAACTATCCCTACCAAAACTTTAAGGAAAAAAATTAAAACCGGTTTTAGGATAATCTTGTTTGTATTTTTTAGAAATTGCATATATTGCAAGAAATATTGCCCGAAAACTACCAAAATTTTCAAAAAATGTACCTGACCTTGATGAAAAAACTCTGTACACATTTTGTTTGAAGGAAAAATCTCTACCTTCAATTTTGTAGTTGTAGGTAGACGCCCCAAAAATAAGAAATTTTGAAATTTTTGAAAATTTAGATTTAAACCTGAAAATCAGATCGATGTCACCTTTATATGTGAATTTTACTATATTCTTACCAGAAATTTAAAGAAAAATTTGGAGCCTTTTTTAGAAATAATGATTGAAATAATAATTTTGAAAATGTCCGTGGGTCATCATGTAAAGCTCCCTCCATATTTAAATCTCAAATCTTTGGATCAAGCCAGTTGGACAGGGGTTTCGCCAGTTTGGAAAAAATCCTACGGAAGGGTTAGGCGCTAGTGGTGTTCACTGACGGTCGGACAGGCGGACAGACAGACGGGCGTTAACAGAACACTTTTTCGGTATCAGGGAACCCCTAAACGTGTATTTCCGTTAAAATCTGGAAATCTATTTTCCGCAGCATTACATAACGTTCCCTATCCTACGTATATACGTACGTATACGGGTCTCTGGGCACTTGTTTGAGCGGTGGGCGCTTACGTGAGTGCTGTGCGCCGATTCGCAACCTAAGAAAAACACTTGTGTCTTAGAGGGCAAGGGCATGATTCCCACTTCCGATAGTGATATCTTTTTGCGGAAGACGTTCTTCTGGGAAGTGCTCAATGAAAGCCCATCTGTAACAGGCGTGAGGTGCGTCTTCGTTTGCCCGCAGTTGGGTGCACCAAGCGAAGTACTTCGTCAGTGCCTCTAAGTGTAGTAACCGAGCTCAATCCTTTTGAGATGCCAACGTTTCTCAGTCATTAATTATTCATTAATAGTATATTCTATCGTGTTACATTCTGTTTTGGTATTGGCTAATTTTTAATTCTAGTACAGTGAAATATATTCCTGTTTTCCCCCTCCAATTTTAAGTTTTTAATGCCTTTTGCGGTGCGTATTGAAAATAAATTAGTGCCTTTAACCTAACCTTTAACCTGCTTTTTAAACTAAAACGTACGTTTTTAGTGTATTAAAATCCGATGTCTAGAAATCAATATAATCAAATTTCCTTAAAGTTCGTGTAATCACGGTAGTGAGTGAATTCCTTAAAGTAGGTTGCATTCTGAGGTAAGAGCCAAAATATGTTTCTAATTTGTCTATAATAAGGAAGTGAAATCGTGTTTTCAAATTTTGACAGAAACACTTGTTACTAACTCTAATTGAATGTAGTCTGAGTAGGGACAACGTATCTCTAGAAAACATACAGGGATTTTACTTCTTGCTCATAACATTGCACTTTTTTGACCTTAAACAAATAAATAGCAGCACAGCCCTTGAAACAATTGTGACTGCTTCTGTCCGTCATATGCCTAGGAAAAGCACAAAATTGCCATGAACACCTTCTACACCTACGACCTGCACAGCGGCGTCGTCGAGCTCGACGAGTACGGCTTGCCGGGGAAGCTGGAGGGGGAGCGTTTCCGCCTGCTGGAGGCGGTGGGCGAGCGCATCCACGCGCTCTGGAAGCAGAGCTCTGAACTACTTTCTCAAATCGACTCGGAAGTGAGTAGGAAACGGCCAGGTTCACCTCACTCTTTCATCACCTCTCCTTTCACATTTAATATAATAGCATTTCGAATATTTGATTCCGCTTTCCCACTATCCAAATAATATTCGATCTTCCAGATATCCACCGTCGAAGAAAACGGCAATAAAGACATGTATAAACTCGATCTGGGGTACGGGGCCCTGATCCGCGGCAAAATCGAGTTCCTGCCTTACACCATGGTCGTCCTTGGCTCGACGCACTGGAGCGTGGACGTGCTGGCGGCCAGCGCCGTGGACTCGGCCATCGTGGTGGTGGTGCCACGCGCCGGGCCGCTGCCGCTGTGGTCGCTGCTGCTGCGGGTGTTCCCGCCCGCGCTGTGGGCGGCCGTGGCGGCGGCGGGGGCGGCGTGGGCGCTGGCGTGGCGCGCGGTGGCGGGCGAGTCGCTGGCCGCCAGCGCCGCCGCCGCGCTGCGCGCCTTCTCCTCGTGCGGGGGCGCCCCGCAGGACAGGGTGCGCGCCACGCCGCAGCGCCTGCAGCTGGCCGGCCCGCTCCTCGCCTCCGGCATCGTGCTCGTGGCGCTCTACCAGGTGCATGGAAGGCACCCCCAACTATGAGGGTATCGACTGATGCTATATCGCGTACTTCCTTGCATTATACACTGAGGTGGCGAAAGCCATGGAATACCCCCTAATATCGTGTATTCTTGGCTATCCGGGATTTGCCGCGTCTCAGTTAACTGGACTGACGTTTCGGCCATCTTGCTGTGGCCTTCTTCAGAGCTATACTGCTGCCCCTAATATCGTATCGGATGCGTTTGTAGGCTTTCGCGGCCGGAGTCAATGCATTCTTGGCTATCCGGGATGAGCCGCGAAAAGGCTTTTCTCGGCTTGTGACCGAGATGCGGCTCATTCCGGATAGCCAAGAATGCATCGTATCGGATATCCTCTTGTTCGACAAAGTGCAGCAACTCTACGTGGCATGGAACAAGTCATTGGAAGTCCCCTGCAGAAATATTGAGCCATTCTACCTCTATAGCGACCATAATTGCGAAATTGTTGGCGCTGCAATATTTTAAATACGAACTGTCCTCTCGATTACGTTCCATAAATGTTCAATGGAAAGTATGTTGGTCGATCTAGGTGGCCAAACCATTCGATCACTGATGGTAGGGTCCGCAAGTTTCTTCAAGCCAATCAGGAACAATTGTGGCTCGGTGACATGACTCATTGTCCATAAAAATTGCATCGTTTTTTGGGAACATGAAATACATGAATGGTTGGAAATGGTCTTCAAGTATCTAAACATAACCATCTCCAGTCCATTATCGCTTCAGTTGGATCCGAGACCAGCGCATTCATCTCCCATAATTGTGTGTGTATGACACACAATACATGAGTTACATGACTCATTTTCCATAGTGTTGTTTGTCGAAAGGATGTTACAAGTCCATTGAAAAATAAGCCTTTGCTATTAAAAGACTTTCGCTAATTAACGCTATGACAAGGTGGTTTGACACTGTCTTTGCACATCTTCAAGATTGATATTTTTAGATGCACGGCAGTGGATCTTATTCTGTTGTAATAGAACTGTACTTATTTTTTAGAAACACGTACCTCAAGGTACATCGAATACTTTCAATGTATCTCACACAATAGCATGAACTCACCACATTTCAATTGCTGCAGAGAAATAAATAGAGTAATATGTGTATATTGAATGAATTGGTCAGTGTGGTTTTCGAATGAAATATTTTCAATTCGTGTTAAATATTCCCAAATTTAATGCTTTCCGATGGTAAACTAACATTCCTTCAGTTCGAATAATAATACATCGCGAACTATTTTTGTCAACAAACAGTGATATACGCATATTCCTTGTAAGGATGCTGTGTGATTCCCCGCCTTAAGATTACAATAACTTACAGATCTAAACTTTAACATCTGCTAGATTCAACTAAATTCAAATTCTGTTTTGCATAATTAACAGTAATGAATGCAGTAAAGATTTTGATTGAAAAAAGGCCCTCTGGTTCAATAGAATGTACATTTTCATGAAAAATATGTTGAAATTTCAGGTGAAATATGTATTAACAACTCTTTCTCTTTCTTCAGGGTCATATGTTTACGCTGATGGCAGATCCGCCTCATCTCGCAGAAATTAACACCTTTGAGCAACTCGCCAATTCCAAAATTTTAGTCTTGGCGCTCAGCTTCAAAGATAGGCTAGTATTTATTTTCCCGCGTCTACTCGGCCTTTCGGCAGAAGAAACGGCCCATCGCATCAAGGCTTCCAACCTTCCGCAAAGGTTCACTGACTGGCACGAATTGAGCCTTCTCGCTAGGCGCAACGAGCGCTTTGCAGTCATTTTGAAGGAAGATCAGTTCAGCGAACTGGCCGCGTGCGACTCCAGCTGGGAAAAGTATCGACCCATGGACACTAAACTACATAGCACCATGGAGCTCCTTATTACACGAAAGTGAGAAACCAGAATGTTTCGTCAAATTGTTTCTTAATATTAAATTATTTGCATCTTCCATTTTGTTCTTCCAAAGCACTACAACCCTATGGTGCCTTCTCGATCTGTCTCCATTCCTATCCTTCCCTCTCCATCTCCCGCTTTTTCTCTCCGTCTACAGGGACAACTACTTCTATAAGCCGTGCGTTCCTTCACGATCTGACCCCATACCCCTTCTTCTCCCTTTCCCCCTTCCCTTCGAAACGCTACCTCTCAATAAACCAATCACTGAGAAGTGAAAAAAAAACGTATTTTCTATAATATGTTATAATCATTAGCCAAAGAATTGTACGAACTCGTTACGTCCTAAAGTTAATTTCGTACATCGTCCTAAAGTTAATTTCGTACATCATTTTGGTAAATATCAACATTTTCATTAATAGAAGAACCTTCTACTTCTGAGTAACTGAGTTTCTAGCTGCTATTAATTGTTGTGCTGTAGTGACAAAATGTCGAGCGCTTTTAAATGTTCATAACACATCTAACGTATTGCAAGGAGTATTTCTTCTAATATAGAACACACAATTATAAATTACAAATTCGCTCCTTTTCTCCACAATACAATTTCGTGGTGAATACATAGTTAAATTTTTTGAGTTTCCTAAACATACCAAGCTATTGCCCAGCAAAGCTCTGGAATGCCGCAGTGCAGGAATTCCATATCGGATCGATATCAGCATTACACTTCAAATTAGTAATAGTTTTGAGGGAGAGGTTACTATGTATAAAATCAATGTTAAATTTGCTATTATTGATGTATATTTTCTAGAGAATGGTTAACTAGAATATTTTGACATTTCACATACGTAGAGGTTGATTAAGAAATAATTAGTACTTGTTCAATTATAAATTTGGCCCTAATGCTTTACAGCATTTTGTAGAAACATTTTTTACTTTTGCAGAATCTTTATATAGAATGTAAATTTATTGCTTATACTGTTGATAATGTATACTGTAAATTTGAAAAAATCGCGAATAATAGTTGGAGTAAAGGTATATTAATTTTAAAATAAGTACATTTTCGGAAAACGCCACTTGAAAAGTGTGTATTTGCCACTGCTCTACTAAGAACATTCCTGTTTCGTATTCTGTATCACTTCCTTCAACGGAAAAGAGGAATTCTACCAAATGTATAAACAAGAGCATGTTTCAATAACTTATTAACATTACACGAGTATAAAATTACGAAAAAAATAGCCATAATTGTATGAAGTGTCAAAAAATGGGGCGTGGCTCATGGGCCAGGAAACCAGGAAATTTAAACAAGAATTAAAGACACTTCCATGCGTCCCAAAAGAAAGCATAATATTTTAAGGAGGAGCAAGGCGTGTACTGTTTATTTAGGGACAAAACAAAAATTGATAATTTCATAGTACTCTCTCCCCTTAAATTTAATACAGGCTTTAAATCTAATGCAATATGGCAGCTGCAATGGAGAAAACAAACAGAGAGCAAAATCATTTATTTTTTGGAGATATCTCCGCGAGGGCCTTTTTATGGGCCCTTTATTTTGGAGACCTGCGGTGCACCAATTGCATGATCGCCATTATCCTCGGGATCAATGACCGGAACGAAAGAAGAGCAAACTTTTAATTTATATATTTTTTTTAAATTCAAGGTCGCATCAACTACTAGGTCATTAGCGACCACTATTGCTTGTAAGGGTATGGTTACTGTGGGTTGACACTATAATGATAGAGGGTGAAAGGACGAAACACAATACAACCATGCCCGAGGCGGGACTCGAACCCGCGATCCTTCGGTCCGAGTTCACTACGGCACTATTGCCTTAGCGATCTCGGCCACCGGATCGGCTTATATAATTTGTTTCTCTTTGTCAGATAAATTCATCATTCATTTGTTAACGAAATATTTTTTTTTGTAACCAATGGAATATTATTTATACGTATATATCACCGGTTCATGTTCATCTACAGACCCCTCATCTCCCCATTCGATATTTTATAGATCCAACGGGGTCGATATCGACCCACTGGGAAGCCCTGATCTAAATGTTCGGTCCCCATGTCTCAAGGGCCGCGTTGTGCGCAGGAACTGGCCGTTCGCCGAGGAGGTGAACTCGCTGCTGGGGCAGATGAACGCTGCGGGGCTGCAGCCGCACTGGCGCAGAGACTTCCAGCGCAAACGGCGCCTGCTCTGCCGCACGTTGCGGCCGTGGCTCCCGCAGGCAGGGACCTGCAGCACTTCTGCCGAGGGCAGCGCTCAGACCCGCAGCCTGGCGCTCGACGTGGCCCGCTCGCAGCCGCTGGGCCTCGCCCACGCCGCGCCGCCGCTGCAGCTGCTCGCTGCGGGGCTGCTGCTGGCGGCGGCGCTGTGCGCGGCGGAGTGGCGGCGAGGGCAGCGGCGCGGGCGGCGGCGAGGGCGGGGCCGGCAAGGCGCTCCTCACGCGGCAGCCAAGTGACCCTCACCGGCTTCCACGAACACCGCGCCCGCCATTCGAAGCCACCTCGTAACACTGGAGTCGCGAACTTTGTAACTTGGCACACTCATCGTCGCATTAAGCAACTATCTGTACAGCAACTGTCTATCTTCACAGCGTATTAAGAAAGTATGTGTATTTGGAACAATTTTACCACCACTGAATTTGGAATTCACAGTAGCAATAAAAAAGTAGTTTCGAGGTAGTTTCAGTATAAATGAAAAACAAGTCTAAGCAAGCCATAATATGCACAAATGTGTACTCTAAAACGTTTGATGTGAGAACAAGCATAAAAAAAACAATTGATTTTAATTTATTAAACGAAAGGTTATAAAGGTTAAATGAAACATTGGGAATGAATACTACTAATTGTTTTATTAAATTAAAATAATGTAATAACCATGAACATTTAGAAATGAATACAGAAAAAAAGATTGACATCAAATTACTACAGAATAGTGAGAAATCACAATTACAATTCGTAGATCATAAAAAAACATTTGCTACAATCAGTAAAATTAGATATAGAGTACAAAAAGTTATTTGCGTGAAATTACTTAAAAGTAATAACTACAAATCAAAATGTAATAAAATGATACTGATATGTTACAATAAGCAAAATTAGAAATTAATATAGTAGATAAATGATTAAATTACAAATTGCAAAACAAAATTAAATTGTTACATTAGGCAATTACACAAAACAGCAAATCAAAGGCCACAGTGTGATCAAATAATAGTTCAAATTTAGAAACGAATATAATGCACCGAGAAAAGTGATTGGTATTACATTACTACTGATTGTTGTGATAAATCCCAATTAAAAACCCAAAACATAATTTAAGGAATAAGGTTGAAGGTATTTCAGCTCAGAGTATCTTAGTGACTGCATCCTTCGAACAGAAATTCGAATTTACACTCAGGGCATCTTAGTACTCCCAGGCAAATGCATGCTTGAAACTGCCAAATTTACTTGATTGTCCAAGGATAAACATTAACATTAAACCTTAATATATAGAACAAAACACTAATAAGAACAATCATCTAATCACAAGATAATGAGTTAGTGACCTCCCATTCGGAAGAAAATAGAATATTACAGTCAAAGCGAATCAACAATAGCCTGTTAAATGTTTGCGGTGATGCCTTCACAAACTTTCACTGGTCAACACTGATAAATCATAAAATGTGGCAATGGTGTAAGTTCATTGGCATGAACACGCACTTTTTCAGTAATGACTTCCCAATTTTTGGCATTTACCCTTGCCAAACCAAGGAGCACCATATCTTGAATTGTACAACAAAGCATTTTGCTCCATAATTTCATTTCGTCACTGAGTTAAATGGGGAAAAGAGAAAAACATTAGTAACCACATCAATTTGGGAGTGCAGAGCCATTACAATCCAATGGTGATTAATACCATGAAGCAGCATAAATTAATCACATTGTTGGAAAGGCAGGAAATCATTACTAGGCACCGCAAGCTAAACTGAAATTAAATATTGATCATCCCCTCTCAACATTTCTAAAAGAAGATCCTCATTTATTGAAGATAATTTTCTTTTCTGGATGTGTCTCTGCTTTTCAATTTTGGTGTTTCAAGGTGGATGTTCAGTAGACGATTCTGTAAAAAAAAAAAGTATGACAATTTCTGTTAATATCCAGTCAGAATTTAATGTTTCTCTACCGCTTACCAGTACTATTTTGTTGTTTTCTAAAGCAGCCAAACAGAAAAATTGGTTGCAAATATTTTCTTAAATTATTGCAGTTATCTAATATTTCAATTCTGTGGTATTGAACATTGTTATTTGACTTATAACTTCTTCCCTCAGGTTACATATAGAAGAGCCAACATTGCAACCGATCGCTTATATTCCATTGCTCATAGGCAACTCCTTCAGTAGCTCTGGAGTCTTCTGCAACCACAAGCTCTGCTTTCACTGCCCGATGACTATTCAGCATCCCAGCACTTACAGACAATACACATACATTCTTAATTAAGTTCCATCAAACAAAATTCCAATATTAAAAATCTTTTATTTGTACCTCTCATTAATTACTTCCTTGCAATACTTACAGGCAAACTAAGGGAATATGTTTGCAAATATTGCATTAACATTGGAATCTCCGCATTTACAAATATTTGTGAATGCAAGCTTCACAGTATTCAATGAGTAGGTAAAAGTTGTCTGTGAGGTCTCTACCAAATACATCCTAGAAAGTACATCACTTGCTTGTACTTGCCGGGAGTTTTCAGTGACTTATAAATGGCTGACAATTGTTTTAGAAGCACCTTTTGAGACTTTGTTGTAAGTCGCAAAGTTCCTTAGTGATTTTCCGTGTATGAAGGGCGATTAACATTAGACCTGAGATCGATGTCTGAGTAATTTCATCAACAAATAGATTGTTCCATCCAACCTTTACATTTTAAGGCCATTTAAATAACATTTGACAGTTTTATGCACCCTTTAAACCATCTTACTAATTGTTAAAATATACTAAACAATTGGCAAAATTATTCAAGATATTTTAATAAGTTAAGTTTGTGAATAAGAAAGAATGTATTACAATAACTTGCTTATTAGTAGTGAAAGGACATAGAATTTATCCTACCATAACTAGGAAGCTTATCACAAAACAATAAGTATATGTCGAAAAGTCGAGTGATATAATTTTCAAATTAATGGGTATTTGTTGCTCATTCCCTTTAAGGGAAGAAAATGTATTAAAAAACAAGTTGTAAAAATGACTAATATTGTGCTCAACTAAAAATTAAACATTTTACCGAAAAATTATCATATCAAAAATGTTATCAGAAGAATATGAATTCAAAAGAATTGAGTTTAAATGTATTGTGCAGACATTTCGGGCAAACTACGTTTGTACTAAAGAATCTTAGTTTATTTGCAAATAATTTCACAAATTGTAACATCCTATTAAAATTATTTGCACATAAAATGATATTGTAAGTAACAACCAAGATTTTCAATTTGAATGTGGGCGTATTTCCACTAATTGTAAATGAAGTAATTTTAGTTTGTTATCACGAAAGTAAACTTCGCTCTTTTTATCCTCGAAATTTGAAGAATTTTAGACTCCCTATTTGCCGACGAGTATACTCGTGTGTAAAGGATCCACAATTCGATTACCTACATTCAAATAAACAGTTATAACAGAAAACGAACTCCAACTGAAGCCGCTAATCGGTAATTTCCTGAGACGCGAGGTTACTCTACTCTCGAAATCCCATGAGACTCGTTATCCGTGACGTTGGTTGCCTATATTTTCATGGTGTGAGGCAAGGCGTATTTCCTTGATTATTAGCGATTCCTGGCACTGTCCTGGCACACGTCAAATATTAGTCACGTCCCGTAAGTGTAATGCATCTTTAACTAGGGAGGTGGCGCCTAGACATTTTCCAAATTCCAAACGTTTGCATAAGGGTCCTGGAAACGCTACTTGCAGTATTTTAAGAAGAAATTACATCAGTTCTCTCTGGGGGAATTAAATGTTCAGTTGTAAAGGTTTTTGAAATGTTTAATATACATCTTACAATAAAAATTGTCGTAATTGTCGTGAGATCATCTCTGAACGAAACCATGAAAGAATTGGCAGGTTGTAATACAGAAACTTTCTACTCTGCGCTCTCAACTCCAGGAATAAAATATACGAAACTGATAGTTTGGCGGTGACGCTAGCCAAGTTCAGTTACGGACACATACTAAACAGAAATAAATTCGAAACGGATTGAAAAAAAACGGAAAACTGGTTATAATTCATGTCGCACGTCGAGTAGCTGATACACATGGACTTGTGTCACGTAAGGAAGAAGGAAACAATTTTTTTAGTGCAGAATGAATATTGGATCCTTGAACCCATGCTTAATAAAATTTATTTCAAATGTATTCTATTGTAAACAAAAAATGCGTAAAAACATGTCAGGACATGATAATTGAGCACAAAAGTAAATGGATGGTTTTTGATTATCAGATGGCTAATGATTTTTGACAATAAGGAGAATTTTTAAAACGTTCAATAACATTACATCAACGCAACTCATCCTTGCATTGGAATGTTTTAACAATTATTTTAAAACATTATCACAACTTTGATTGATGTAACCAGTGAAATTAACTTCGTATCCAATGCAATAATTCATCGTCATAATAAAAGATCTATCTTAAAAATGTATCCCCTAATTTATAGCAAACAAATATCTTGCAAAATTGAAATCCAACTATGTTAAAAGACTACAGGTAATTTCCATTCTTTAAGAAATTTTAGAAGTCCTATGTACACTTAAGTGCTTCTGTTAGTTCGAAAAATAGCATATAAAGGAATAAGATAATTCAAAACACCAAAAACTTTGTAGAAAACGTTTATTTCTTGAGTGTCTTCTAACAGAACTGGAGATAGTTCGCCGGAAGAGCAGAAGGATGGTGATCTAGGAAGATGAGGACTAGGTTTATTTGTGTATCCGATCTACCCAATTTTCTTGAATAACAATTATCTTCATTGCCAAGATTTTTTATTCTGAAGGTATTTCTCTGAAGTGAATACCAATCGCCTTCACTTCCAGCCCCCATGGCATGTTCATTAATTTAGTTGTAGCTTCCAGTATTTCGTTTCTTATGCAAAGTTTGCCTGCCAGTCTTAGTATCCAGAGAAGATGTGAGCCTTGGTCTGAAGAGGTTTTTCTGGAGGCAACCCACTTCATAAGCCATACAATCAGTGAATGGTGGTAGCAGACAATTTTGAAGTTAACTAGATTTTATGCTACAGCGTTAAATCCATTGATAGCAATCATATGAAATAATGAGTAATCCTACAATTTAGGACCTTCAGTGTTGTAAGATACAAATTTTGAAATGCAAGCTCTACTACAAATCACGTCGATACTTAAGAACTGTGCAACCATTGTAATAGTACAAGGATTCAAATCAGCTACTTCCAGAGCACTATTCAACTTTTAAACCAACAG